TTAATACAGGGCATACTTAGTACATAAGCACTCAATCACTATTAGTTTTTCTTTGCCTTAGAAAATATTATCCAAAATGGCACTAATCATAGTTGATAAATCTAAAAGAATTGTTGATTACATGTGTATATTAAGGAAGAACTCCCAATTTTAAAAGAAAAATAAATTCTAAAAAAGACTTTTTCAAAGAAGAGGAAGACCATAGGCTAGAATCTTTGGGAAAGACTTCATGAAGGAGACAAGATTTAAAGGCTTTTAAGGAATGGTGGATTTGGGTGACAAGGGGAAGTAAATCTGTATTTCAGTACTCTCTCTGGCATGGAAAAGGACAACATTAACAAAAGACTAGAAGTTATTAATAATTAGTAGTTGAAAGTATTAATATGATGAATGTAGGGATACTAATGAAAAGATTCCATAGTGGGGGTATGCTTATTAAATAGGATAAAAGGCCTGGATACCAGGTTGACAAATTTGTATTTGTTGTAGTAGTAGTAGTAGTAGTAGTAGTAGTAGTAGTAGTAGTAGTAAGAAACTACTGGCACTTTTGTGGTTTTGTTTTTATTTCTTTAAAAGCACGCTATGTCTGATAGGTTAATACTCATAGTTTAAAAGTTGAAGTTCTAAATGTCAAAAAAGCACTGCCCCAAACTTTTTAGTTTTAGAGATATATATGAGTTACAACAACTTGAAAATAAATCTGATCAGGAGAAGAGACAGATGCCAAACTGTAAGAGTTAACATTGATGACCTGGTGATAAATACTATTACTTTTTAAGCATCAAATCCTATTTCGTCTTTTTCTTAAAAAGGAAAATCAACAGAATGTTTTCATTGTTAAAATTGTTTCATCAATTGAAACTAAGAGTAGGAGTGCTTTACTGGTATGATGACTAGGTTTTGTTGTATTCCAGATTTCTGTTGATTAAATGGCTTTGAATATAAAAGGCTCTCAGTGTACATATATCTTGTTTCAGAGTAATAAAGAAGATGATATTTATGTGGGTTATACAGAAATGAGACAGTTTGCAAAAGTGATCTCAACTGTATCATCAGCATTGGCTAACAGTTGTTAACTAGCTATAGATAATCAGTGATGTTAATCATATGAAACATGAGTTGGAGACATCAGGTCTGTACAGCTTAATTTAACGACTTGGGCTCAAATTTACAAAATACAATAATCCCCCCTTATCTGCGAGGGACATGTTGCAAGACCCACCCCACCCACCCCATCCCAGGATGCCTGAAACCACAGGTAGTACCAAAATTCTATGTAGGTTTTTTCCTTTATATACATATCTGTGATAAAGTTTAATATATAAATTGTTATTGCTATGTGCCGTAGAGTCGGCTCCGACTCTTAGCAACCCTGTGTACAACAGAATGAAAAACTGCCTGGCTGTATGCTGTCCTTACAGTCTTTGCTGTGTTTAAGCCCATCATTGCTGCCACTGTGTCAATCCATCTTATTGAAGATCTTCCCCTTTTTTGCTGACTCTCTGCTTTACTAAGCATGATATCCTTCTCTCAGAGAATTGTCTCTTCTAACATGACCAAAGTAGGTGAGACGAAGTCTGGCCATTCTCACTTCCCAGGAGCATTCCGGTTACACTTCTTCCAGGGCAGATTTGTTGGTTCTTCTGGCAGTCCATGGTATTTTCAGTATTCTTCAGCAATACCACAATTCAAAAGTATCCTCTCTTCCTTGGTCTTCCTTATTCATTGTCCAGCTTTCACATGCATATGAGGTGATTGAACATACCATAGCTTGGGTTAGACCCACCTTAGTCTTCAAAGTGACATCTTTGCTTTTTAACACTTTAAAGAGGTCTTTTGCAGCATATTTGCCCAGTGCAATATGATGTTTGATTTCTTGACTGCCACTTCTGTGGGTGTTGATTGTGTATCCAAGTAAAATGAAATCCCTGACAACTTTGATCTTTTCTCCATATATCATGATGTTGCTTGTTGGTCCCGGTGTGAGGATTTTTGTTTTCTTTATGTTGATGTGTAATCCATACTAAAGACTGTAGTCTTTGATCTTGACCCATAAATGCTTCAAGTCACCTTCCCTTTCAGCAAGCAAGGTTGTGTCATCTGCATATCACAGGTTAATCAGTCTTCTTCCAATCCTGATGTCACTGTTTTCTTCATGTAGTCCAGCTTCTTGGATTATTTGCTCAGCATACAGATTGGATAAATATCATGAAAGGATACAACCCTCACTCATACCCTTCCTGATTTTAAACCATGCAATATCACCTTGTTCTGTTCAAATGACAGTCTTTTAGTCTATCTACAGGTTCTTCATGAGCACAATTAAGTGTTCTGCCATTCCCATTCTTTGCAGTGCTATCCATAATTTGTTATGATCTGCACAGTTTAATGCCTTTGCATAGTCAGTAAAACAGAGGTAAACTTCTTTATTTGCTTTCAACCAAGATCCATCTGACAGCAGCGATATCCCTCATTGCTGGTAGTCTTCTGAATCCAGCTTTCATTTCTGGAAGTTCCCTGTGAATACCCTGCTACAACCATTTCTGAATTATCTTCAGCAAACTATGACTTGCATGTGATATTAATGATATTCAGTAATTTCCATATTCTGTCGGATCACCTTTTTTGAAATAGACATAAATATTAATCTTTTCCAGTCAGTTGGCCAGGTAGCTTTCCTGGCATAAATGAGTAAGCGCCTCCAGTGCTACATCCAGTGGTGGAAACATCTCAATATGTATTCTTTCTATTCCTGGAGCTTTGTTTTTCGCCAATTCCTCAGTGCAGCTTGGACTTCTTCCTTCAGCCCCATTGGTTCTTGATCATATGCTGCCTCCTGAAATATCTGAATGTTGACCAATTCTTTTTTGTATAGTGACTCTGTGTAATCCATCCTCTTTTGATGCTTCTTGCATCATTCGATATTTTGCCTGCAGAATCCTTCAATATTACAACTTGTGGTTTGAGTTTTTCTTTAGGTCTTTCGCTTGAAAAACGCTAATCATGTTCTTCTCTTTTGGTTTTCTAATGCCAGGTGTTTGCACATTTCATTATAATACTTCACTCTTGTTCAACTCTTATAACTCATCATTTCTTCCATTTACTTTAGCTACTCTCCATTCAGAAGCACATTTCAGAATCTCTTCTGACATCCATTTTAGTCATTTCTTTCTTTCCTGCCTTTTAAATGATGGTTTGCTTTCTTCATATGATGTTCTTGATGTCTTCCCACAACTACTCTGATTTTTGATCATTGGTGTTCAGTGCATCAAATCTGTTCTTCAAGTGGTCTCTAAATTTAGGTGGGATATAATCAAGGTCATATTTTGGTTCTCGTGGACTTGTTTTAATTTTCTTCAGCTTCAGCTTGAACTTGCATATGAGCAATTGATGGTATTTTCCACAGTCACCTCCTGGTCTTGTTTTTACTGATGATATTGAGCATCTCCATTGCCTGTTTCCACAGATGGTGGTCAATCAGATTCCTGTGTATTCTGTCTGGCAAGGTCCATGTATATAGCCACTGGTTATGTTGTTGCAAAAAGTATTTGCAATGAATAAGCCATTGGTCTTGCAGAATTCTATTATGTGATCTCTGGCATCATATCAATAGCCAAGGCCACATTTTCCAGCTACCAGTGATTCTTGTTTCAAACTTTTGCATTCCAATCACCAGTAATAATCAATACATCTTGATTGCATGTTTGGTCAATTTCAGATTGTAGAAGTTGGTAAAAGTCTTCAGTTTCTTTGTCTTTGGCTTTAGTGGTTGGTGGGTAAATGTGATTAATTGTTGTATTAACTGGTCTTTCTTGTAAGCATATGGATATTATCCTATTACTGACAGCATTGTACTTCAGGATAGATCTTGAAACATTCTTTTTGACAATGAATATGTCGCCATTCCTCTTCAATTGGTCATTCCCAGCAAAGTAGACCATATGATTGTCTGATTTAAAATGGCCAGTACCAGTCCATTTAAGCTCACTAATGCCTAGGATATTGACCTTTATGCCTTCCATTTCATTTTGACAACTTCCAATTTTTCTATATTCATACTTCCTATATTACATGTTCCAGTTATTAATGCATGTTTACAGCTGTTTCTTCTAATTTTGAGTCATGCTTCAGCAGCACATGAAGGTCCTGAAAACTTTACTCTATCTACGTCATTAAGATTGACTCTTAATTTGAGGTGGCAGCTCTTCCCCAGTTGTATTTTGAGTGCTTTCCAACCTGAAGGTCTCATCTTACGGCACTGTATCAGACAGTGTTTCAGGGCTCTTCATAAAGTTTTCCAGTGATATATCAGACAATATTTCACAAGGTTTTCACTGGCCAGTGCTTTCAGAAGTGGATGGCCCCATCCTTCTTCCCAGTTTGTCTTAGTCTGGAAGCTCTACTGAAACCTGTCCATCATGGATAACCCTGCTGGTATTTGAAATACCGGTGGCATAGCCTCCGGCCTCACAGCAACATGTAAGCTCCTACATTACAACATACTGGCAGATAAGTGGTGGATTTTATTTATAAGTTATAAATTTATAAATTAAGCACAGTAAAAGATTAACAATAATAACTGAAAATAGAATAATTATTAAGTAGAATAAGGCTTATTTGAACACAAGCACTTGTGGTATCATGACAGTCAATCTGATAACCAAGGTAGCTGTTGACTGATGGGTGGGTAGTATATACAGTGTGGATACACTGGACAAAGGGATGATTCATGTCCCAGGTAGGACAGAGCTGGACAGTGCAAGATTTCATCACTCTACTAAGAATGGCACACAATTTAAAACAAGAATTGTTTATTTCTGGATTTTCTGTTTAATATTATCAAACCACAGAAAACAAAACTACATATAAGGGAGGACTACTGTACTCTTGTAGTACTGACTAGACAGTTTGTTGATAATAGAAATCCACTTTAACATGTTTGCAGTTGTTCTTGTTATCAAAGTTTTTCCTTTTTTTCCTCCCTTTCTTTTTTGGGTCAGGGTTCCAGTTGAGGCATCTTCTCTCTTGTCATTATCACCAAGTCACAATCAGGTAATTTTCAGTATACTGTAGGGTTTTTTTGTTTTGTTTTAGTGTTTATATATATATAAAATGGTTTTCTTCTTTTTCAGTGCTTAAATTGCCATTAATTGACAGATATCTGTGAACTTTACTATCTCCTCCATCTTACATTTAATACAACATGACTATGTGATTCTTAGCAACAGTGCTTTTAGAAACTAGGCAAAAAAATAAATCTTTTATCCACATGATGGCTTTATAATAAATGTAAAAACAATACAAAGATGGGAAAAGATTAGCACTAAATTTTAAGAAGTCCTAGATACCTGCAGAGTAAAAGTTGCCTGGGTCACTAGTCATTCCTTAAGTTGTTTAGGAATATGAATAAGTTGATCCATATCTCCACTTGCCTATGCAAAATGATACTTTTGTCTCAGCTGTCACATACAGACTTTGAACTTCGTCGGAAAAAAGAACAATCAGTTGAGCGTGCTCGGAGAGAGGCACAGCGTGCTGCCCTACAGTATGAGGAGGAGAAAATGAGGACCAAGCAGATTCAGAGAGATGCTGTCCTGGACTTTGTCAAGGTTAGCCATAGAAGTCCTTTGAATGATACTCCTACTAAAGTTACTTTGAAGTTAATGCTTATTTGTTTTGCTGAAACTGTCAGTTTTTATTGTCTTAATTGAAATACCAACTTCTGATGGTAGTTTTTTCTTGTTATAAGGCTCTTGACTAAATGTGTGACTGTCTACTTGTGATTAGATTAATTGTCCCCATACAGATAGGCATGAGGACACTCAGAAGTGATTGTCTTACTCTTATGAGAGTAGTCTCTGCCTCTTAATTAGTAGTCTATCATTAGTCACGTCACTTAACTATCCAGCTGCCATTTCCTCAATCACTGTCATCATAAACAGTCTTGATTAGTTTTCAAATTAGAGTTTAATCTTGATCAGTTAGTCAAAAAGAACAATTGTAAATTCTTAAGCAGGAGAAAACATGAGGAGAAAGATACTTCTGAAAAACAAATCTTCTCACTTGTAGAAGAGGTTAGGAAGAAAGAGACTAGAAGGAAAAAAACAAAATAGAAAGTAATAACAATAATTAGACCAGGATGCAAAATGAAGAAGTAAAAGTAGAATATAGCTAAGGTTACTAAGGAGAAACAGTATTGTACAGTGCTAGGAGCTTGGGATCAGAAATGTCTGAATTTGAATTCAGCTTTACCACTCACTATGTGCTTGACTTTACAAAAGTTACTGAACTATTTTGTGCTTCTAGTTTCCTTATGTGTGTAATATTTAATAAAACCAAACCAAACTCACTGCCATCAAGTCATCTCCAATTCATAGTAACCCCCATTGGGTTTCCAAGGCTGTAAATCTTTACGGAAGTACATTGCCCACTCTTCCTTCTGCGAAGCAGCTGGTGTGTTTGAACTGCTGACCTTCCGGTTAGCAGTCAAGTGCTTTATCCACTATGCCACCAGAGCTTCATTTAACTTAATAGTTAATAATTTAATAATAATTATTATTTTGGAATTAACTATGGATTCACCTAATTCTTATTCCTATTATGGTGAGTTTTACATCCTCTACCACCATGATGACTTTATAAACTATAAGAGAGATTTCAAAAGAAACATCAGTGAGACTTAACACTTGTTACATAGATATGTTATGAGTATTGAAGATGAGTTTAAAACTCACTGAAGATGAGTTTTAAAAAAGATCTTAAAGCACAGTTTTGGGGCTGAAAGAGTAGGTTCAGTAGGAATCTAGCATTAAGGAAAAAATGTAGAATTTAGAGTCAGAAGACCTAGATCCAAGTTTAATTTATGATACCTGCAAACTTTGTGACCTTGCACATGTGACACAAACTCTCTTATCCTCAGTTTCTTTATCTTTAAATGAATATATTTATGATAATATTTGCTTAATATTAATAAGTTAATAATATTTACTCTCAGAGTAAAAATAAGAATCATTTGACCTACTATACATAAGAACACATTATAAAATACTTACTATACAGATTTTATAATATTGTTATTTGATATAATAACAAAAATAGGCAAATTGAGGGGAAAAGGCAGTCAGTATGGGTACTTGTGAGTTTCTTTTTGGATATGTTGAATGTGAGGTGATATTGGGGTTTCCAAGTAGATAATTTCCTTCAGCAGTTGGAAATACAAACCTGAAATTTAGGTGGTAGGAGAGAGCTGACATCGTTAGCAGTAGAAGTGATATTTGAATCCATTAAAGAGAGAATGATTTCATTGAGAGAATATAGTGAGACCATCACTCTGACTGTGAATGAGCTTGTATTTGTTTATATACAGTTTTTATTTCTATTTGTAGATGCTTATAGCTATATAAAAATAATCTTTGTCAATTTGTTGCTTTCCCTTATTTAAATAGTAAGATATGTAAAGGAAAAGGCAGTATCTTTTTAACCAGTAAATCTAGAAAAGTGCTGTACAGAACAGATAAGGAAATTAATGAGAATGGTTACTTTAGTAAATAGAGTTTACCATTTGTAGTTTTCATGGTTCTAACCAAATTCCCTTTTTCCGGGGGTTGTGCGGGTATACAGCAAAAAGCATCACAAAGTCCACAGAAACAGCCCCCCTTAGATGGTGAGGTAAGTCTGTGTAATCACCTTTCCTTTGGAATTTATTATTGCAACAGAAATGACGTGTTTTACATGTGATTATTACGTGTTTTCAGTGATAAAAATACTGCCATTTTTCTTTTTACGTCACAATATTCTGTTTATTGAGAGAGAAGACATATCAGAATCTCTAGAAGGGAGTCTTTTTAAATCTATACATATCCACTTGGACATTAGGGTGCTTCCCTTCCTACCATAGGCAGTATCCTCCTGATCCATTTTAGAAGCATGTTGTGTATTGAGAGAGAGTCCTGATGGCTGTGACTGGCTAGGTAACATTAAACAAAAAATGATTCTCCATAGCATTTCAGTTTCGGTGGTCATTTCCTAAGTGTATATGTATTGATTATGCTTTGTACACATTATTTTTATAATACTAAGTAGTATGTTTTCATAAAATTAATTGCTTATTGCCCTTTTAAAAATGTATGTACCTATTTTGATCTGATTAAAATGAAGCTTGCTACATGAATATTTTTATAGTAGTTGATTTTTCATTAACCGTTTCCTTTACCTTTCCATTCCTTTACCTTATGAGTATTCCTTTAAAAAAGCATAAAGGCACATTTTCAAGTGAATTTTGACTCTGCTTTTTGTAAAATAACTTATTTTAAAATTGAACACTTTAGGGCTGCACTAGCATCTGTTTCCAACAGCACAAGTGTTTCTGGTATAGGAAAGTGTATGTTTGAAATGTTTTAAATCATCCAATATAAAGTTTTTTAAATCTTACTGGACATACAACTACTATTTGTTAGTTTTATGAGAACATTATCATTGGTATAATACCTGAAAGAGTCACTCAAATGTTTTCAGTTGTCTTTTCTTCAGAAGGTAATAATTCTGTACAAACCTTTTACAACCAAACTTGGATAAGCTGGATACACTTATCTTTTTTTACCCAAACATTTCCTTTTGGAAGGTAAGTTTGGGTAATTCATTATCTAAAACCTAAAGCTTTTCAGGAAAATAAAACATACAACTTTATATTTTTCAATTACACTTTTGTTTTGTCTGAGAAAGGTAATGGACAGATGCCTAGACTGGAAATCATGATGGTTGGATTTATTTATTGTTCAGTTTGTTATATGTTCTCTACATGACCACAAATTCTTTATGTTATTGTTTGATCTACACTTCAGTGTTCTGTCTGTGAACAGAGAATAATTCCTGTTCCCTCTTCGCTTTAGAAGGTTTTTAGGCAATAAGATCATATTTGAAGTTGTTTTAAACTCTTTGGGAGATAATCATTACAGAGTGAACTTGTTAGCTATATGAATTCTAGATGATTGTGAATGGGTTTTCCTGTATGTCAGCATCTCTCCAAGTATGTCTTAAATGTCCTTTCCTTGTGTATGTATATTTGTGAAATACATCATGTGTCTGCACAGTTTGTTTTTGACACCGCTTCATTTTTCTCCACCTCTCCAGTGCCCTTTCCCATCCAGAAGGTCTCAGCACACTGATGATAGTGCCTTGTTAGTGGTAAGAGCTTTGTAAAAAATGGAGTTTCAAATTGCTATATTTAGAGATTGAAGAAAAACTATTGTACTTTTCACTTAGAAATGACAAATATCATAAAACATGATGAGTGTTGTTACTAAATGCTTTACACCTAGCTATAACTAGTTCCTTACCTTACCATCCATGAATTACCTAATTAATGTTCAGAGCTCTGTAGCTATAATTCAGACATCTTTGTCAGTCCTTCCAAAAGTAGAACATTGCATTGAGAACTGTATTGGCTTTGTGTGTGTGTGGTATAACATAATATTAGTTTTTATTTATAATGTTTCTGGATCCAGGTGTACTTACTTTATTAATCATTGATTTGATTCATGAGTCACCTGCGTGTTAAATGCATTACCTTACTCTGTGACGTTAATTAGACAACTGTGTATTTGGCATCCTATTTTCTTAGCATTTTAAGTTGCTAAAAATCCCAAACTTAGGCTGATTTAAGTACTTAAATCTCAAAATTACCCCTCCATGCCTATTTTTCACACTCAGGAATACAGGAGCTAGAATGCTATCGATTTTCAATAGCAGTTGAAATTTTTATTACCTGTTTCATCAGCTGAAAATGAGTATAACAGAAAAGCTTTAAAGTCTTAACTTTTCTTAGCTTTGCAAGAGAATTCTAACTATTTGCAGAATTGCTTTTCTTATCATGTTTTATGTTATTTTTTCACAGTAGTATTGGAAACTAGCAGTTCAGAAATCTGTGTCTAGCAATTCCTGTCTTATGTAGCTGCTGCCATTTTACATCCCACTGCATGAAGTGCATGCTTCAGCATGAGATTCCTATTACATAAACTTGCATTGTCTGTTAAAATGTCTGAGTATTCTGCAGTCATTCACTTTGAGATGGATAAAGCATATTTTAACTGGGCAGTCTTAGAGATGAATACACCACCAGCTCCTGGAGTTTTAGTGGGACTTAATTGGTGTAGGAAGCCAGTAATAATCCACATTCATGCAGAAGAATACTGAGAGTCTCTGATGATCCAGATATTTACCAAAATCACTTCATTCACAATAACTATAAGAGGTAGGAAGTTTTATAACTATTTTACAAATGATTACTCAAGGCAGAGAATGGTTTGATGACCTAGTAAGTGCAGGACTGGGTTTGAATTTTGATCTGGCTCTTGAGAACCTACACTTTAAATACCATGCTATAATGCTTCCCTTACTGTAATTGAAAACAGTTTAGGAAACTGAAGGTGAGATTTAATAACATATACAGTAAATGATGTTAGTCTGAGTGCCCAGATTCTTTGTCAGGGAAAAAATAAAATTTGCAAACACTCTTCAACATGCAGTTCAAAATGGCTTTCAGCGGTTTATTAAAACAAATACACTTTGTGATAGTTAAGGTTGTGTGTCAGCTTGGCTGGGCCATGGTTTTGAATGATTGGGCAGCTGCATGTAGGTATTCCCCATGATGAAATTGTAATCATCTCCATGGTGGAATCTGCTTTGAGCAGCTAAGTAGCCACCAATGGGGTATGAGACCTGCTTCCAGTATTTAAGGAAAAGCTTTGAGAAAGCTTTTGGCACATCTGAATCCTGCATTTGGCTGAGTCTTCATCTCAGTGGCTGCTGTGTTGTCTGCTAATCTTGGGATGCTGCCATTTACTTGTCACGCTTGGGTTCATCAGCCTCAGCAGCCAGCAGCTGCATGAGTCAGAAAAAGCCTCCAGCTCTAGTGGGCCTGAAACAGGAGGCAGAGCTGAAGCCCAAGATCAAGGGCTCTTCTCCCAGCCCCTGGAGCCAGCATTTGAAATCAGACTTCTAGCCTCCTAAACTTAAGAAAATAAATTCCTGTGCCTTTAAGCCATCCACTTGTAGTATGTCTTTTGTAGCAGCACGAGAGAAACAAGACCCACTTGTATTTTAGTTATCATTATATATGTCTGATCTAAATTAGATGGCGTTCAAAGGCAAGAATCATGTCTCACATTTCTTTGTATGCCAAATAGTATCCAACAACCATCTTTTGAGTTATATTTTAAATCTTACTTGTGACCAGCTTAAAACTGCCTTCAAAGGCTTCATATTACTTTTTTTTTTAAATTTTTATTGTGATTTGGGTGAAAGTTGACAAAGCAAATTCATTTTCCATATAGCAGTTCATATACATTTTGTTTGATGACATTTGACTGCAATTCCCAACAGTATAATAAACACTTCCTCTCTGTGGTTACCTCTTCCCTGTGTCTTCCCTCCCGTGCACTACCACCCCCCTGACCTATCTGACTGTGCAAACATTGCCCTCCTATTATCCCACAATTGATCAGTTGATCACTCCAAAGAGTGTATCTACCTGATGTAAATGTTCACCCTACATACCTGTCTGTGGGAGCTCTGGTGGGATAGTACCTAGGGCACTTGACTGCTAACCAGAAGGCTGGCAGTTCAAACCCACCAGCCACTTCTCAGAAGGAAGGTTGGGCAATCTATTTCCATAGTGATACTGCCTCGGAAACCCAAGGAATAGTCACTGTGAGTCAGAGATGACTCAATGGCACATAGCAACAACAACATATACCTGTCTGTTGTTTGGCTGGAAGCCACAGGAGTGAGTTCATTTCCAAACCTGAAGAGTAACTAGGGACCATAGTCTGAGGGGTCCTACCAGGCTCTATCAGACCAGAAAACCTGGTATTTTTTTTTCATGATTTTGAGTTTTGTTCCACATCTCCCACTCTTATTCAGGATCTCCTGCACCAATCTTCCTCCAGGTGTTTGACAGTGGTAGCCAGGTACCATCTAGTTCTTCTGGTCTCATGGTCTACTAGTCCCTTGAACTAACTGTTTCCATGCATCTTTGCTTTTCTTCATTCTTCTTTGCTGTGGATGAGGAGAGACCCATTATTGCATCTAGATGGCTCCTTGCAAGCTTTTAAGACCCAAGTCGCTACTCACCAAAGTAGGATGTAGAACAGTGTTTTTGTGTAATATGTTGTGCCAGTTGAGTTGGCTTTCCCCTGTGACCATGGTCCCAAGCCCGCAGGTCCGACAACTTGCTCCCTCAAGTTACCTGGCTGTAGCCAAGAAGCTCTGCTATACAACCAGACATTCATACAGCACATACAAATACACTTGTAGAAACACCATCTGCCAGAATACAAATAACAGGAATAAGAAACTAATTGGGCGACGTCACAACAGAACCAACAGAAATTAAAAGGATAGTATCAGTATACTATAAAGAACTGTAATTTGAAAACCGAGAAGAAATGGACAGATTTCTGGAAACATACTACTTACCTAAACTACTTACCATACTACTTACTAACTAACACAGACTGAGGTGGAAAAGTTGAACGGACTCGTAACAAAAGAAGAAATTCAGTTAAGTCATAAAAAAATTACCAACAAAAAAAAGCCCTGGCCCAGACAGTTTTCCTGGAGAATTCTAACAAATGTTCAAAGAAGAATTGACACCAGTGCTGCTCAAACTATTCCAGAACATAGAAAAGGATGGAACCCTCCTGTGATAGTTGGAGCTGTGTGTCAACTTGGCTGGACCCCAGTTCTGTGTGGTTGTTCCCATGATGGGTTCGGATGACTGTGTTCTGAGTGGCCAGTCTGCCCAAGGTGAGTTTCCCTAGGGGTGTGGCCTGCTTCCAGTATATCCA